TCAATGGCACCACCGGCCCATTCGATGGTGCCCTTGGCGTTGGTGTCGGCACCACCGGGCCAGATGGAAAGCTGCACACGGGCAGGCGTCTGGGGGTAGTCCCACTGCTGGGCGGTGGCGTTCCAGGTGTCGGAGCGCTTCTTGGTTCTGCCAACCTGACCGTCGACGAGCCACTGAATCTCATCGGGAGTCCAGTGGATCTCGTACGTGTGCCAGTTGTTGAAGGTGTTGGACAGGGAGATGTTGCCGGATTGATCGTCTGCAAGAGTCAGTTAAGGTTGAAAGCTTAAGGCACGGGCCAGACGTACACTTGGGGATACCCTGGAAGTAGTAGTTGGTTTGGGACATCTCGAGATCCGCACCAACCCACTCGTAATCGATTTCGTCCTTTACGTCACCGTACAAGATGAAGGCGGTCACGACACCGGGCCCGCGGGAGGTCTTGATGGTGGCCTTGACACTGCCGTACCACAGGTAGGTGGTGGAGGCGAGGACGGTGCCGACACTCTTGGCGGGCATGGTCAGGAGCACGGCGCCATTGCGCAGGGCAGGCTCGCCCTGAGCGACCCAGTCGGCCTTGCTCGGGTCGCCGAGGTACTTGCTAATATCGACAATGCCGTCCATGGAGTTCATCGACATCTTCTTGTCCTGGCATACGGGGGCGGGCACGCAGGCATCGAGAGAGAAGGACATTCGCGGGTCGCAGCCGCCGAGGCAGTAGGCACCGGTACCGCACTGGCCATATTCTGGAGGAGTCAGATCAGGTCTTCGACATTTCGGGCAGAGGACATCTTACGGGAACAGCAAGGCGCGGATTCGGGGCACTTCTGGGTCAAGGAGCAGCTGGGAGGGGTCTGGGCGAGGACGTTTGATGCGCCGAGGAGGGCGAGGCCCAACGGAAGAACCGACAACATGTTGTATGGTGTTTGTTGGATACAATTAAGGTATTAAGATGGGTGAGAACGAATGACTTGGGAACTCGGTGGCTCGCCAAAAAAAAAAAAAAAGAGAGCGACGTCGGTTTGGGCGTCGAAGAACCCAAGAGATGTCGCCGTCCGCGGGGCGCGGAGATTGTTCGTCAGTTGTTTGTGTTTACTGGCTGCCGCACTGCCGGTTGGAATTCGGCTGTCTGATGACGGTGACACCACGGGGACTCGCGTGTTCGGTCGTGCGTCGTCTTCCGGGCTGCGGGTGGGATGTCTGGGTGCCGGTTTAAATGAATTGACTTTCGAGTCCTTGTTGGGACGAATGGAACAAGAGAGTTCGGATAGGGTTCGTCCTGTGGCGGAAAGGCAAAACGGTTTCGCGGGAGACGGGATGCTTTGTTCGAGGCAGAAACAATGCGAACAATGGCCGTGTGGTGAAGTGCGCGATACAACCTAACGAAAGGGTGCAAAATGCGTATTAAGCGACAGTAGTAAAGCGATACAGCGGGAAGACGTCAGGCTGCTGGTCGGGAACGAGTGACGACCGTGTAGACGACGATGGAGAGGGATAGAGGGATAGGGGTGGAGAAGAGAGAGAGACGAGGAGGAGGGAAAAGGGTCGAAGCCAAGACGGCGAGAATTAATTGGGGGAAGGGATGGGGGTAGCGAGAGGAGTGGGAATGCGCGGGAAGTCAAACCAGGCGAAAGTTAGTACGTTAAGGTACCTTACCTTACAGTTTAACCTACTTCTACCTTCTACCTTACAGAAGACTGGCTCTTACGGTTAACACGGATTGACTACCAACTGCCTCCTCTGGTTCGTTGGTCGCCTCGCTCGCTACCTTAGTGCTCGTGTCCGGGCAGCCCAACTCAGGGCCAACAGCCTGCCTGGCGCTGGCGCTGGGCTAAGGTAACATCTCTCCCTCCAACTCCCTCGGGATTCTCACTGAGGTGATGTGCGTGTGTTTTGATCGCCTCAGTGCAGTCAGTAAGAGTAAGGTGCGGATACCGTAGAGAGAGCATTGTCTGAGGCGAGGTGCCCCTTTCCAGTTGCCTCCCTCCCCCTCCAATGTACGTCTCCACGTCTCCAGGGCAGTCTCAGTTCCCTCTCTCCCTTCAGTAGAATCTTCCCACTATTGTGCTGCACTGCTGGCAGAAGACTCCTGCTCACACATCAGCCGGGCACCTGACCGTCCATCCATCATCCATTCTTCGTCTGCCCAGCGCAAATGGAACCAATCGCTTTCCCCTCTGCAACGCCCTCCCTTGCCCGAACCGGCCAAGCGTGCTTGATTTAGGTAGCAGAGCCGGACCACCCTGCCCCTGCTCGCTGTGTTTTCCCTGCCTGCTAGTGTTCCTCCGCCCCTCGCAGAATCAATGGAATTCACCAGAGAAAAATACGGGGAAACCAAGGGATGCACCAAGAAACTGGAGAATCCGCCAGTCCCCTCGTAATGAACTCGTCCGCTGATCTCTGCTTCTGATTGGCCACCCAAGGGTTTTCCCCCTCTGATCGCCCCAAGATCATGTTTTTCTCTTCTTCTCCTTCTCGGGTATTCCATCCACAGTCCCCTTTTGGGATTAGCCCCCCCCCCCCCCCGGGCCCGTCCACTTTTGCAATTCGATTGAGTCTTTGCCTGCAGCGATTTTCGTCCCCGTGCCGTCCTTCCCCCGTCCTGTCGTGTGTGCTCTGTGCGGCGGCGCACGGGGCATGTCACTTTTGACGTTGACTGACGATGATGTCTGCAAAAGCACCTGTCCCGTGGCTGTCAATACCTTCGGACGAGATGCAGGCTTGATTGACAGGTGCTGTGCCATGCTGATGCAAAGTGCTTGGACGACGGGGGCTGAAATGAACCTGACGGCTGTACGCATCAGGATCGAATCCTCCACCACTAGCGTCGAACCTCTCAACGCCAAACAATTTCAGAATTGAAGCCCTTTATGTACACTTGACTAGCACACAAAGACACAAAGATGACGATTGGCAAGCACCGACTCACCAGCCAACCAACCAGCTACCTGCCGCTACTCGAGTCTCCAACCCGGTCCATTGCCCCCGGCGCCGGTGGCCGTTGAAACCACAAACCTCATGCAAACAAACTGTTACACAAGGCCATCCAATCACCTCGCCCTCCCCCGCGTCGAATCGCACATGCACCACCGTTGGAGGCCGGCACTTGAATCTACACTGCTTACTGCGGTGGACTGTTTGACTACATGCGACAGCTGCGAGATCGTGTGTCCCCCGTTGGCTGCGGCCAGTTGCGCCGCCGAGGCTTGCTGCGTGTAACAGGTAGATATCTGCTGTGTTCCGTCGACGAGACAAGGCGAACGTAAGGCGTTCTTGGGTTCAAGAATGAGAGGGGCTTGTAGACAAAGATATGACGGCAGTGATTGTTTTATGGCTTAGAACTGGCATTCTGCTTGGGTTGGGAGGTCTATGAATTTTTTGACGTTGAATATGTGTGACTTGATATGGAGCAAAGGTTGAGAACGCTTATGGCAAATAAACCACATCACCCAACTTGCTCGACCAAGATGACACCATACGTAGAATCTTAAACCCGTTGATTCAATGACACTGGGATTATGTCGTAGGGGGAAAGAAAACCAAGTTAACGGGCACGGAGAGTGTTGGTGTTGAGACAGTATAAAATAAATAGTCCACACCAAGTCTGCCAGGTTGAAATATTGCATATAAAATAACAGAAATATTGAAATCGACAACGCCCTTCGTATAGTTCGCAGGAACAACAGCATACACATACCTCTGAAGTCAGAAAATCACTAATATGAGACAGCAATAGAAAAATGAATAAGAGAGGCAACGGACATGGTATGCATGTACAGGAGCAGAGGCTGCTGTAGTAGTCACGACCACGAGTATGATCACTTGTCGACAACAAGAAAAAGACACTCGGATCAACTCTCAACAGAATACCACTCGACGTCCCAATGAATAGAATCGCAGTAGTTATTGGCCCCCCCATGTCGACATTTCATTCAGCGCCTTACCTCGTGGGTTGGCCTCACACGACTAAGACCATAAGTCAGGAAGAACACGGGAAGACAGAGTCACAAATACGACAGGTACTCTTATCAAGGATGATTGAGTCCACACCACACCATCAGTATCTGCATCAGGAAACGAGTCACATTCAATTGTCAGAATTTAACAAAAAACCAGGCATTGCTGCATTCATCCTATCGACACCGCACCATGTCTACCACCGCTCCAATTTGAGTACATGTCACATTATAATGCCCCCATTCACACCATCTCATGATCACACACAATCCCCTTAACCGCACATCTCGTCATATTGCTGACGTCTGTCCAGAACCAATAACAACACTTCTTCACACTAAGGGTATAGACTCATCATGAATCGAAACAATCTCACCATCTCGTCCCAGCTAATCGTCCTTGACACCACCGGCCGTAGAACACCCAACAGCGTGTCTAGGCATCCATCATCACCCGTGCTGATAACACTTGCCCGAGCCCATTACATCATCCGGTCTTCTGGATAATCATGGATCAAAGAACTTGCTTTTACGCAAGCCCCATACCATCATCCCATGCCTAGTCGAAAGGCCCTACGCAAACATGTACGCGGACCACTCAACGGCAAACGTTCACCCGCCATCTCTCAACTTCCTTTTCGTGTTGCGCTATGAATACTCAAAGCACACTGTAATAGCCTAGTGGCCCGACCAGGCCATCCACCATACTTGCGAACTCGGACTCTCAAATGAAAAGCCATCCCACTTCCCCTCCCAGAGCCAAAAGAGACCCGGGCCGGTCCATTCATGCCACCAAGCAATCCGGACGCACACACAAAGTCGAAAGAAAATTAAAATTCCAACTTCGAAAGAAAAAGTAGCATAATAGTAAAAAAAAGGTGCAAAGGGGGAATCGTCTTTTTCTGAGTCCGGGTCGTTGAGATCGTCAGAACGAGAAAGAAACACAATTGGTATACGCCCAAGGCATGGAGACACTCCCAGCGCCGTTTCGCAGTATTGCCCGTTTCCCGAGTATCCTCAGAGCCGCCGATGAGCTGAGTTCCTCTACCGAGCATTCGGTTTGGCGTAGAGGTCTACGAATCATTTAGTACCGATGCGGCTGCGGCCGTGCCGACGCGATGTTGAGAGAGGGCATACCGGGGAAGTGCTCCTTGGCGTATTGTTCGCAGGCCTTGGCTGGCTTGCCGACCTTCTGCCCGATGACCTTCCACTTGTTGTTCTCGTACTCCTTGATGGCGTTGAGGAGTGCTTGGCTCTGCATTTTGTCAGTGACATACTCAACGTAGATTCAGGGTGGCAACAAACCTCGTCCTCTGCGAACTCGGCGTAGTGCATGTCCTTGTACCAGTGCTTCTTCACACTACCCTCAGTGCGGGTGGGGAAGGTCTGCATCACGTTAGCTGAGTTCAACAGATACAAATGAGGCGCGCATGATGACGAACCTTGGCAATCTCCGCCCAAGAGCTACCAGCATCTCTCATCTGCTTGAGACGGAGCTCCTCAGCTGGGGTCCAGGGGGTATTTGTCCGGCTCTTCTTAGCCGGGGGAGGAGCAGGAGCGGCATTGGCGTCTTCCGTGGGCTGGGCCTGAGGCTGAGGAGCGGCGGCAGGCGGGGCCGCGGGAGGAGGGATGGGAGTAGTGGTAGGTGGCGGCTGGGCAGCGGGCATCGGGGGCGCACTCGTGACGACGGGAGGAGCAACCGGCGCCGGAGCGGGGGCCGGACGCTTACGGTTCCTGTTCGTCTGAGGCGGGGCCACTTGAGGAGGCGGCTGGTGCTGAGCCTGCTGCTGAGCATGTTGCTGCTGATGTTGCTGAGCATGCTGCTGGGGGTGCTGCTGGGGGTGGTGTTGAGGCTGGGCCGGAGCTTGAGAAGGCGGCTGCGGGATTTGCATCGGAGGCTGTACCGGGGTGGGGTGCTGCTGATGAGGAGCCGGGCTCTGCTGAGGCGGCGGGGCGTACTGGAATTGGGGATGCTGATCCCGACGAGACATGTCCTGCTGGTAAGGGTGCTGAGGACTAGAGGCAGGTGTTAGTGAAGTTCCATTTCGACGGGATCAACATCGTGGATAGAGTTGATGTGACTTCTGGGGCCCCTCGCGGTCGTTGTGACCAAACGATTGCGAGTGTGTAGTGCATCTCAACCCGCCCGAAGGTGGTGTTGTTATTGTTGCCCGTTACACCCTCCATCTCGAGGCGAGACCAGACCAGATACCATCGAGCAAGGCCAAGAGTGGCCAGGGTAGCTCGAGTAGTGTAGTTCGTGGCCAGGTATCCTGTCCTGTATACCGATATACCAACGGCAGGTACATGGACAAGTACCCAGACAGCAGAACCGGCAGCAGGCCCAGGTCCCGGAGGAGATGGCCGTTGTGGTGGTTGGTACGCAGCCTCGCGGGGCGGAGGATGGAACGGGAAAGGGGGTGACTTTGGGGTTGGAAGGGGAGTCGGAAGCGGGAGGATACGGAGGATGTAGAGGAGGACAGGTACAAGGTGGAGGAGGTACTTACTGCATGTCGTTAGGTTGATGGGGGGTGGAGTTGGAGTAGATGTACTCCGGCACTGGGCCGACTTGCCACTGCTGCATGTTCTAGCAAACGGGCCAACGTTAGTACCGGCTTGTATCCGCTGAGTTGTTTCGCGAACGAGAGAAACAAATGTGTCGCGCGAAAGGCAGAGTCAGAGTCATGGGCCCCACGGCCAGGCGTCAAGCGCGGACGCGACACGGCCGTTTGGGTTTTGCGCGGCGAGGGTACATGACTGCGGCGCTCAAGTCGCGACGAACTGCGATGAAAATTTGATGCCGGACGACGCAACCGCGCGCGCGCTCTCAATTGCCATCGCGGGCGACGACAGTGAAGTCGTCGACGAAGATGGATTGGCAATACGCAAGATGAGACGCGATGGAATGACGTGTTTGCGCCGTGGCGATGATGCGATCAACGGAGGGGAGAGATGAAAAGGGTCGTGGAAGGCGACCGCAACAGGATGAAAAAAAGACGCGATTGCTTCAAAGAGAGGCAGCAAGGCTAGCGACAATGGAGCGGAGAGCGCGCGCGCGACAATGACTGCTTTGCGACTCGACGAAGGTACAAGCGAGCCAACATGATCGGTCGGGCCAATGTGTGAAAAGCGACATAGGAAATGGGTGAAGGTACTTACGGGCAATGTAGTGGTAGTATTAACTCAAGCAGCGATGCATAAACCGACGGTTTGATGGATGGGGAATATTTTTTCTGGTCGCTGCTCTCTGTCGGAAAAAGAGACTTGGACCAAGCGGAAGCCTGACGTACGGTCGCAAGGCAAGAAGCGGGTCACGGCACACGCCCAGGGGGGGGGGGGGGGGGACTGACTGGAAGGGGGACGTGGACGTGGATGGGAAGGGGGAGGGGGAGGTGAAGTAGAGAAGGAACGGGGTTGTTTTTTTTCGCAGGAGGGCGAAATAAAAAAGGAACAAAGATACAAAGGCCCGCGAGGCCGAGGACGTGTTTGCTTCAAGTACTCTTTTTTTTCCTTCTCGTTCCCTTTGGTCTGGGGTGTGTGTGGTGTGTGGTGTGTGGTGTGTGGTGGCGTGCGTATGTGAGCGAAAGCGACGCGACACACAGCAAGTGACAACAGTGGCAGAGCGGAGGGGAGGGAAGAAAAAAAAAAAAAAGAGGCGGTGCAAAGTGGGCGGAAGCTGTGGATGCCGTTCAGGTAGCTAGGCAGGCAGGCAAACAAGGTTGTCCGCGGTGAGCAGGAGCAGTCCCAAGGTGAGGAGGTATGGGCCCGAAAGATAGGTAGGTACTCTGTGGACAGAAGGTAGCTGCGACGCGCGGGCAGATGAATTGGCGGGCGGCGACGAAGAGAGACGCGGGAAGGATTGGATGATTTGCGTAGGTTGCGCTTCGTGTGGAGAGGAAGCGTGTGGTGTGCGCGCGCGCCCACGAAAGAGAGATGTGTGAGGGAGAGAGGACGACGGGAAAGAAGGGTGCTGAGCCCTGTCTTCTGGCCTTCCGGGTAGGTAAGGTAGTGGAAGGTACGTAGTGTGAGGTAGAATCAGATAGGGTGCAGGCGAGGGAGGCAAGAAGGTGACGAGCTTCACCTCAGCCTTGAGTTCAAAAGACGGGTCAGGTTGGACCGGACCAGGTCGCGAGCTTCTCTCTGGAAGTAGCCGTAGAGGCGGGTGCAGAGGAGGGGATGTAGATGGATGTAGAGGTGAGAATTCTCAGGTAGCAGGTAGCTCGGGAGATAAGGCAACAAGTAGATTTGCTGTAGGAGCGACCTGGAGTGATCGGGAGGCAGGCAGGTGGCCTTGCGCGGTGCGGTGGGTGCAGCGGGCGATCCTTGGTGGTGGCGGCACTCGGGTCAAGGCTCAAGCTGTCCAGGGTTCCCGCCAGGTAGGTAGGTAGGCAAGGTAGGTAGCTAGTAGTGACTTGTTGACGTGTGTACGCAGTAAGAGCCGTGAGCGACTTTGCGACTGGCACTGGGAGGGTAAGGTAGGTGACCAAAAGGGCCCACGCGATACAGGACACAGAGACACAGAATCGATTGCTGCGTTCTCTGGACGGAATTGACGGGAGAGGTGACGGCAGGCGCGATGCGGACGGCGTGTGGCTGGCCGATGCGTTTGACGTGCGTGAGAGAAAAGTCGGGTACCCGGGCGGAAGGGCAGGGAAGAAAAGGAAAGGAAGCGCCGGCGTTGTGGTGGGAGACAGCAGACGGCGACGGCGCGACGACGACTGGGTTGACGTGCGGACGGCGAGGTAATTAGCGGTGCGTTGTTGGCGGGCGCGTTGGTGTTGGTGAGATATGCGATGTGAGGTGTGCGATGCGCGAGCGATGAGGTCAGTCGTAGGTAAAGACGAGGCAATGGGGGGAGAGAGAAAAAAAAAAAAGACAATTGCAACTGTCTGCCTTTTGCCCCTCGACTGTTGGCTGATGGGACGGGCGTGAGGTAATTGGGTGGTGTGGTGTGGTATTCGTGGATTTGGCTGTTTGGCGCTTCGGCAGCGACGGCAGCAGCAAATGCAGTCAATGGTAAGTTGACTGCGACTATCCCGAGCGAGAGTGAGCAAGGTGAGGGCGTCGGTGAACGATTGGACTGCTGGTGCAGCGGCAAGGTAGGCAGGTAGCGAAGCGTGAAGGTGGAGCAGAGCAGCAGCGCAGCGCAGGGTAAGCTTTGGTGCTGGTGATGGCAGCGTTGGGACTGGAGTCTGGAGTTGGGACGCTCTGTGTGTGAGTGAGGTGCCTCGCGATGGCCCAAGGATGTACCTCTGACGGAAGTAACTTCCTGGTTCTCTCCACGGTGATGTTTTGGACTGGCTGCCCTCTTTTTTTTTTTTTTTTCGCAGAGAAAGTGGGTGGTGGAAGGGGTCAGGAGGGAAAATTGCTAAGGGGGAGGGGGAGCGCGAGGGAACATGGAAAAGCAACGAGGGAGGCGCGGGCTTCCCTGGGGTGTCTCTCCCTCTTTGGGGGGGAGGGGCTACCTACCTTCCGCTCGGGCTAGAGGGAAAGTGAATACCTTACCTTACGCAATATGCGCAATACGCTGCGGGGCAGCACGCAGGCAGCAGGTATTGGGGAAGGACCGAGTATTACCCATCGTTGCCTCTTTCCCACCCAGCAAGCAGGCAAGAGCTGTGGCTGGAGCTATCTCCTGCCGCAGCCAGAAGACAAAGCACGGGCCAGGCAAATCCTCCATCGCACAGACCATCGAGCTTGTCACTCGTCACCTCGTCGTTGCTCGATGCTCAGTGGCTGCTCCGTGCGCTCGCTGCTGGTGGCCTCTCACTCGTGACTTTTGGTAACGGCAGTGGCACTGGCAGTGACGGCGACCGCGGGCTGTCGAATGCTGTCTTCCACCAGTCTCCCTCCAGGGTGACACCATCAATCCAATCCAATCCAATCCAATCCAATTCAATGCATGGAATCCGTCAACCGTCAGTGCAATCGCCGTCAGTGCTATCCATCGCCTCATCATCGGCCATTGCCACGAAATCACTGGCGCATTCTTTGGTGCCAAAATTGACAGCCGCCTTCCTCCGGGTTTTGATGACTGAGGCCCCGTGTTTCCTTCTGCGGGGAAGCCCAGCCACGTTCATCATCTAACCTGTGACCCAACCAAATCCTGAACCAAGCAATCGCACAATCAACCCGCGCCACTTTAATACCTGCTTGCCTGACGTGGGCGGCATGAATTTGTCCTGGACGGCCAGGCACCAAGGGCAGTCAGTACCAAAGGGGAAAGAAAAAAAAAAAAAGATAACACGAGGCCCGGAGAGGGGGAGGAGAAAAAGAGTTCATCACAGCCTCATCAACCCCCAAGTTTTTGGCGTTGAGGTTTTCAACATGCTCAATTATCACCGACCCAAATATCCTACACTACTGCGCGCATCTACATCCACTGCGATACAGCTCAATTGTGCCCTGTGCTGTCGTCGCATTTCTCTTGGCACCACCCCGACTTGTATCCATGTACCGTCTGCATGCCTCAAGTACCCAAAGCTCCCTTCATGTACCTGCTGTTAGCGGTACTGCTGGTGGACACCGACCAAGAGATCGGACCTCAGACGGTACGTACAGTACCTGACGAGAGGTCAGGTACATCTGCCAACAGATCTCCATGTACCTTTGGCAAGCCCTGCAAGACCATCACCGAAACCTCAATGACATTGTACGCCTGGACTACAGCAAGTTGGTTGACTTTGGCCTGCATGTACTGATGATGATGCAGCTGTCCGTTGCCGTAGGTGCTTGAGTCCGCACAATACCGGCTGCTTGAGCGAACGACCGTTTTGAAACAGCGTGAGGATGGCCGACTTCTGGCTTCAATTCTATGATTGCGCTGGATCAATTGCGCGATGTGAGCTGACCGTGCCCATATAATCAGCCTCATGATCCCGCGTCCTCGCCATCACAGTTGGCTCCCGGACGCAAACAAAGCCCTCCCACCGGCTTGTACCCACCTGTCAATCCCATCCATCCCCCAGATCATCCGCTCTTCATCGTCCCTCGGCCAAAAGCCCATCAGCCGAGGCATTGAAGCAATCCCATCAGGCAGTCGTCTTATTCATCGCAATAGGGGCACACGGGCACATGGGAATTAAGGTGACGCCGGACCATCCGACGATCCCGCGTATTGCGGAACCCGCGGGCCCTGGACTGCTTTCGTAATCACGGAACACGGAGACTGGCGCCAACCCAGCCAGCTAGCCCACGGCAACGGACCGAAGGCCCGATTATTCCCAAGTCACATCGGGCGACGGGCGAAAAGCGGAGCTGCAGGGCCGGGGCGGCAGGGTCTGCTTCAGCGCGCACGGTTGCATCGGGTTCCGGTCGGGGGAGGCCAGTCTCCACTCCTTGCCGAGGCCAGATCGCAGCATACCGAACAGTGTGCCGAGAGAAACGGGTCCGCCGAGGGCCCCCTCACAACAATACTCGGGGCTTAAGAACCGGGCCCGCTCCAGTGTCTCCCCTTCAGTGTTCCGCCAAGTTCCAACACCAACCACGGTGCGGCGGCCACCGCGAGAACGAACGAGAGACCGATTGCCAAACCCGAAGGCCACCTCAGCTCCCGCCCAGCCAGCCGCTGTTCCCGCATACGAA